GGGAACCTTTGGATGCCGCTGTGGCAGAAATGCCTCTGCCACGTGTGTAAAGGAGCTTCCTGTACCCCGGTTGGGTGATTTTTGAATATGTTTCTTTCTGCCCCTTCCAGCTCCTTGCTGGCCCTTTCTGTTCCTTGAAGACCCTTTCTGTTCCTTCTCCTACTTTACCTTTGTGCTCCTTCTGATTCTTTCTGCCCCTTCCAGCTCCCTGCTGCCCATTCTTTCTCCTTGCTGGCCCTTCCCTGCTTCTTGCAGACCCTTTCTGCTCCTTGCAGACCCCTCTTGCCCTTTGCTGACCCCTCCTGCTCCTTTCTGACCCCTCCTGCTCCTTGCTGCCCCTTCCTGTTTATTTCTGCTCCTTCTACTTCACCCTCCTGCTCCTTTCAAACCTTTCCTACCCCTTCCTGCTTCTTGCTGCCACTTTCTGCTCCTTCCTATTCCTTGCTGACCCCTCCTGCCCCTTGCAGAACCTTTCTGCTCATTTATGTTCATTCTACGTTACCTTCCTGTAGGCTGTCTCCCCCCCATGCCTCACTTACCTGATCTGTAGGCTGCCTCCCCATCCCTCACTTACCTAATCTGTAGGCTGCCACCCCATCCCTTACTTACCTGATCTGTAGGCTGCCCCCCATCCCTCACTTACCTAATCTGTAGGCTGCCCCCATCCCACTTACCTGATCTGTAGGCTGCCCCCCCCACCTAATCCTGCCCCCATCCCTCACTTACCTGATCTGTAGGCTGTCCCCCCCTATGTCTCACTTACCTGATCTGTAGGCTGCCCCCATGTCTCACTTACCTGATCTGTAGGCTGCCCCCAATGTCTTACTTATCTGATCTGTAGGCTGCCCCCCATGTCTCACTTATCTGATCTGTAGGCTGCCCCATAGTCTGTAGGCTGCCCCATCACTCACTTACCTGATCTGTATTCTGCCCCCATCCTCGCTTACCTGATCTGTAGTCTGCCCCCCCCCATGCCTCACTTACCTGATCTGCAGGCTGTCTCTGCTGGCTGCTGCTCCCCTGCGGATGCAGTCAAGAAAAGAAGCAGGGATAAGCTGTAGCTTCCTTTCCCTGCCTTTCTCCATTCACAACGCGACCTACTGGCTGGCGCCTGTATTGCAGTGTATTCTCACACTGAAACGAAAAATAGCAGCACAAGCTGGAAAATCCGGGGGGGGGGGCCCTTCTCCCCCTCCTGCGGACGCCATTAAACAAGTTCCTACCTACCCTCAACATAGAGTCATAGAGAATCTCATGTGTGGGGGGAACAGCTGTATCTGCTCTGGGAATTGCTATATCACTATACTCCTCTGGGTTATAATCACTTGCTCTTGTAAGAGCAGTTTGCTACAATCTCTGGAGTAGGAGAGGTCTGCCCACTGGAAGCTGGATCCTGGTCTTGGGTCCAGAGTGGGTGGAGGTCAGCGAGACCCCAGCCAAGCTGTAAAGCTGGAAGCGGGGATTACGTTGCTGATGGTGTCTGCTAGAGTGCTTGGAAGTACTCAGAGGTACTAGGAGGCAGTGATTGGAGGAGGCACCCAGTCGGGTTGCCAGGCGGTGCGCCACAGCCTCATCCAGGCATTCAGCTGATGCTGATCACTAGGGATTGTGCATGTTAACATGGAACGCTTGGTTCCCTATTTTAAAGCAACAGTGGCCCAAAACACTTGTGAAATAAACATATATACATATATATATATATATATATATATATATAGTAGAAGAAAAGATCTTGCACTCCATATAACAAAAGTTTAAATGCCCGGTGCTAATCCAGCAGAATACAAAAAGAAGAATATGATAGCACTCTCAGGTCTATAAAAAATAAAACTTAACTTTTAATAAGCTTATGCTGAAAAAAATCGACGTTTCAGTCTGTTAACCACAGACTTTCATCAGGATCAATACATAAACATACAAACATTCAATATATAGTAAAATACAAATTAGTAATCAACTTACCCACTACCAAAATGATAGAGTCTCCCTGTCAGCTCGATCTGGAGTCCACGTGGGTTCGGCCGGCAACCGGACGTACGTCCGTGACGTCATCACGTGGTGCCGGCGTCATGACGTCATCACGTGAGCGACCAGCCGGCGGCATCATTGGGAGCATGTTGCTAGGGAGAATAGCTTCCTAGCAACACATAAAAACAAACACTAAATGACTGGGGAAACATTATGGTCACAAAATAATTTACACAGAAACCTGAATATGGCAAGAGTTATTAAAGAGACCTCTAATATTTACTGCAAAAAGCACAAAGATAAATACAAGCACATAACTAGGGAATAATGAGGAAAAAGCCCCTATCTAATGGCAGATATGGAAAATATTGAATTTTAATGGTGTATAATTTTCTATGAAATTATAAAGCCTTATCCCAAATCATAATATAAACACCAAATACCAAAAGGCTATACAAATAGATGAAACTCCATAGCATGTTCAGGGAACTAATGTATAGTGGATAATTCTAAAGGTACCTAAATACACTTCTTATGATCTAAATCTAAACAGGCAATCAGCATTCAGCCCTTACTCTAGAATATCTATACTAGCAAAAGGTCATTATACTGGATTATAAGCCAACACCATCCAAGCTCCACATAAAGTTACATACCTAGTAACAACAAAGAAGCTCATTACACTGCACTATATGAATTAAAAATTAATTTGGTCTATATCCAAACATAACTGATACTGATACAACCCAAAAACGACAAGGAACCAAAATCTTACTGGACACCGGTTAAAGTGGCTGACCCCCAGGGCGGGCCACTTACACCTATTCCAGAATAAATCAGAAACCATTATAGAAAGGCGGATAAAGAATATTTTTCATTAAGTCCATTGGGATAAACAGTTTGGAGCGTTCTGATCCAAAATAATTCACGTTGAAGGAGCATCTTCTTTCGATCTCCTCCCCTTCTCGGCAAGGGAACATGATCGATAGCCATCAATTTCATGGAGGGCAACGAATGTCCCAATTCCAAAAAATGCTTGGCTACCGGTAACTCTGACTTATTGTCCCTGTACGCAGTTCTAATGCTTTACGAATTCTTTCTCTCAAAGGTAGATCCGTTTTTCCAATATATGTTAATCCACAGGGACATGTTAATTTTTATATTTTTGCAGCATAAGCTTATTAAAAGTTAAGTTTTATTTTTTATAGACCTGAGAGTGCTATCATATTCTTCTTTTTGTATTCTGCTGGATTACCACCGGGCATTTAAACTTTTGTTATATGGAGTGCAAGATCTTTTCTTCTACTATATATATATATATATATATATATATGTATATATGTTTATTTCACAAGTGTTTTGGGCCACTGTTGCTTTAAAATAGGGAACCAAGCGTTCCATGTTAACATGCACAATCCCTAGTGATCAGCATCATGTTTGTATGTTTATGTATTGATCCTGATGAAAGTCTGTGGTTAACAGACTGAAACGTCGATTTTTTTCAGCATAAGCTTATTAAAAGTTAAGTTTTATTTTTTATAGACCTGAGAGTGCTATCATATTCTTCTTTTTATATATATATACATATATATATATACATTTATATAAATAAATTATAGTGCAGCACTTCAAAATAACCTTTTTTTTGTCAATTATTTCTTTAATTGAGGCAGTTTTAAGGAATTTATAGAGTAAAAGAAAAAGGAGTTTTAGTGAATAAACATACATCATATATGCATTAAAGATTTAAAATTACATAAACTCCAGCGTACACCAGACTCATTTATATAGAAAAAAAACATATAAATCATGCAGTCATCTCAAGAGTTACAGGGAAATTAACTTGGACAAGAATGGAATGCTTAGCTGAGCAGACAGACATTTGGCAATATCCCATATTCGTTTAAGCTTAGCAATCTAAATTAGTGTAGACTGACATATTGCACTCAGGAATCTGGAGCCATTGTAGTGGAATAGAGGACCAAACTAACACTTTTATTCCCTTTTGTTTGGCTGTCCATACACCCATGTTCGTTTACCGAACCAAGTCTATGTGGTCCCCTTGTTCACATCTTCTACCACCGACCAACACTGGCTGTTAACCACAAATTGGTCATTAGTGCAAGTTTTTTCCCTGTGTGTAATGTAGGCAGCAGTACATGGTCATCGACAGCGTGAAACTATTTTCGGATAAGCGACCCTGCGAACACCCAGGAAACTAGTACCGCTGCCCATCCAACTTCCAACAGTTATGAGAACGGCATTCAAGAAGCATGAACTACCGAACCAGGGGAGCATTCGCTTTCTAACATGCAGGGGATGCATTCGTGTTTGTGAGAGAAACCTCGAAAGATGACCAGTCGTTGCCATGTTTTCTCTGGAACTGTTTTGGGACATCACCTTGTGGCAGGCCGGTCAAAACTTCATTCAAATGGCGTTCCCAAACCACACTGAAGGGATCTAAAGCGATATTTCGACAAAGTGGGTGTTCAGATCCAAGCTATTCGGTGATGTGACTTTTGTGGGGTTCCTATGTTATTAAAATGTGTTTTTTGGGGTGTTTTAGAAATATTATATGTTTTCCTCTATCTGAGAGATAATTGAATTATAGTTTTCTCCCACAGTTATCTCTCAGAATCCTCAGAGGGAAACCCTTGTATTTTTGATATGGAGACCCCATACTAGGAGTCAGTGCATAAAAGCTGTGTGTGGCCAAAATAAAATCAGTTGACTCCCAGAACTACTGGATTACTATACTGCTTCTTTCAGCTTCGAAAAAGGAATAGCAGAGATACCTGTGCTTGGTATTGGAGCTCCGCTACAACCATGCTTTAGGGGACATAAAGAGTGCTACACAACAGTGGTGCTGCATATCAGACTAGGTGCATACAAGGTTATGTTATAACATCAGCAAAGCTAACAAGAAATCTATACCACTGCAATGTGTTTCACAAGTCAGACATCGCACCACACTAAATAAAAATCAACCTAATAAAACGGGGCAGCAAAGAATCTGCTTAAAAGCACAAGGCCAGTATACAGGATATTCTCTTTTACTTGCTCCATGGCTCATAAATGCAACAGCAAAATAGAACTAGCCAAAGCCATATATTTCAGTGGTTGTCTCACTTTCCATGTATATTTCACACCTAACCCATAGGTACGCCTGAGTGTCACCATCTATCTATGTATAACCTCTCACGCACAGGTTAGATTAGAATCCTGAGTTATGCTTGTTTGTATCTTGTTACGTAAACCTGCAGACTACGCTATATAGCATTTTACCTACCTAGCCTGCGACCTATTACCTCTACTAAATATAAAACTGTGCAAGAACTACCGCATACCCCAATGTTACTAATGTCGAAAAAAAAAGCATGAGAATTGCCGTTGGGGTACCCCATGCAAGTTTGTTATATTCATATGCACTGCAAAAATAAAGAATAAAAAAAAGCACAAGGCCAGAGTTGGGAGATCTGCTCCCTCTACCAGGCACCTGACTGTCAGCTTCAGTAGGCATCCGTGTCAGACAATTGTAAGTACCTGATTTCAAAGCTTAATAGAATGGAACAATGGACCGATTCCAGCAGGAGTTAAATTGATTCTTATTCTTTTTTAGCTCGAGTAAGCAGGAACTACATTGAAACATGTCTGGCCATCTTGCCCCTCAAAATAACCTTTTGTGTTATTTTGCTTATAACTTTATTTTGAAGAGCTACACTATAATTGATTTCTTTGTAAGCTAATTGGTGATTAGGGAACACGTTGGATATTGGTTAACTGCTAATAAAATCACATTTAATTCATATTTTTGTTAATGTGAATTAAGTGAGACAGACAGAAAGATACTGATTACTGATTATCCCAAGTGTTCCTTGACCAATCGCCGCACAACATGTCCATTTTAGGCCTACTCTGACATCACTTTCCTGCCCTATCATGGTCAAGAAAGTGATGAGAGTGCATTACATTCAGCGTGTTTCAGTTGGGTCTGTTATTTCTTACCTCTGGAATCCTTGACCTTGGTTTGTATACTATCTATCTTCTCCTGTCTCTGATTATCCTTATTCCATATTAGGACTATTCTTAGCTCCTTACATTAAGCTCGGCCACTCTAAGGTCTGGCAGTATGTACTTTATCTTTTTTAACTGCCTCTAGTATGTATGTACATTTACATAGTCTAACTGCTCAATTATCTGCTATTTAGGAGTTAGTTCAATTTATCCCTACTGTCACGGCTCACACCATGCCAAGCAGACTGCCAGGTGTGGACATCACTTCTCAGGGCCTGGCTGGGATTGAACCTGGTCTTCTTCATCCAATTGTTCATTCTTGTTCATTTCTTATGTTATGGTATCTGCATTACTAAGCCTGAACTATCATCACACCTGCACGTGGTTCCTGACTAAGTAGCGTATTAGCTGCCTTTATAAGCCCTGCCTTGCCACTTCGTCCTGGTCAGATCGTTTTATTACCTGTCTTGGAAACAGTTTAGTTCATCTGACTCCTGCTTTGACATTCAGAACTGTTTACTGTATTTCCCTGACTTCCGCCTGCTCCTACCATTGGAACCGTAACTGACTACTCTATTGGAATTTCCTTGTCTGTTCTGCGTACCCAGGAGTACTTTTCATGCAAAGCCCCAGTGCATTGTTTCATAACCTGGAGATTTCTTCCTAGAGTCTCCTCGGTCCGTGTTAAACTGCAAGAGTGTGCCTTAACTCATCACTTCGGACTCCCACCGCCAGGTAAGACCCTTACACCTATACATTTCTTGTAAAGAGAGATCTAATGTTTAATCTTCCTTTATTGTCCAATCTGTTTAATATAGACCTTCCTATCTCCTACTTTATTCATAGCCTTCTAGTACCTGCGGGAGCCTCCTGCATGTGATGCATGTGATTAAAGTCAAATTAACAGAACAAGAGATGAAAACATCTAAAACCAACTGTGCTGTCAAATCTGATTAATCTTTATTAAGTTAAAGTTGTTATGGTGCTTAGACTATCCATTTAATAAATAACACTGGCTGTGTATGTTATAAGTAGTATGGTTTGTAAGTTATTCTCTGATTCTGAAGATTTTATGCTGACCTTTCTGCTTTATAATTTTAAAATGGGGATTTAATATTGCTAATGAGACAAAACAAAATATTGTTTTATTTTATTGTGGGTTATTTAAATTATACGTCAAGTTGGAGTGTTTGGTAATTAAACCCCTGGTCTACAGAATGTATCAATATAAACACACTCTCTAAACATATAATTCTAAAGTGACTGTCACAATAAAAAGAATTTAAGTAACTCAACAAAGCATATAAAATGTATACAGCTTATATCTTGTATTAGTATTTACTACACCATATGGCAGTTCTAAATATATGCAGTTAATTCTACAGACAGTGAATACAAATATATTTCATGTGAATAGAAATATTGTGTGCAATACTAGGTCTAAGTAAAAAGACTAATTAATCACAAAATCTGTTTCCTTCCCCCATCCCCCCACATAAAAATATGTTTAGTTATTACGTTTTCAAAACAAAATGCAAAAATATTAAACATATTTACAGATAGACATATAGATTAATTAATTCCATGAAATGTGATTACGAGACATAAGAACATTCTAGCTTGTAATAGCTTAGTTCCACCACTTCATCCCAAACTTCAAAGTTCTAATGGGTATTTATTATTTACGGCATGGCAATGCTCATTTCACATATCAGATCTTCAATTTAATGTACATGTTTAGATATGGTTTAATGCAGGACTGGCAGAGAATTATGGGAAATACTTTCAACAAATAGAGGGCCAAGGACGAACACTGACATTGAAGAACATGGAGCCTTGTATTGGGTAAGAACATTAAAATATCAGCTGGGTTATATTATCTGAAACAGATAAGAGCAATAAAAATGGCAAATAAAACAAGTTACTTTACAGACTATATTTGCTGAAAACTGCCACTGTTTTGAAACAGAAACCTAAGCAACATTGTTAAAGACAGTTTATGTGGGAATATATTGTAAAATAATATCAATATTTAATACTACTTGCCATTTAATAATGGTTATTAGTGAGTCACCGGCTCATCAACGGATCAGTAGCTGACTGGAGGCAGCTTCTTCATGCTGTAATCTAGAGTTCACCGGAGCACACAGAGGCCTAGCGATACAATGTTTGCTCAGTTCCATGATTTATCAGGATTATCAACCCAAGTGTAATATTGACCCACAGCTCACCTCGTGTAAATCAAGAAGACTGGCAGAAACCAGGAGTTAATATCTACACAGCAACACTGAGGAAATTGAACTATAAGTGACCTCCCATTATCCTGTGACAGGGAATCAAAATGAACACATGTAATTTTATAAACCTATTTTCATGAGCTAAACATTATGAAAACAGCAATACACGGCTGTAAAGCTTTTTTTTTTTACCCATAAATTCTCTATTGCTTAAGGCAGGGATAACCCAAAATATTGGGTTGCATGGGTCTGAAGGAGAAATGGTTCCCCCAATCCACTAAAACTCACCGTTTAATATAAGCTGACGCAACCATCCTCTTTCCAATGCACTCTACTTAATTTTCTTCTTTTACTGCTCCCCTTCCTCAATTTCACGGCTATGCCCAATTATATGCCCTCTTCCTCTGCTTCACCTTATGAACATTCATCCCCAATGCTTTCTGTTAGAGATGAGATACCACTCTAGCTGTGTTAAGTAAGAACAGGTCTCTTTGACACCTTTAAATTTACGATGAGCTGTGTGTTTGATTGGGAATATTGTTTTTTTTTTTTTAGAAAACTAATGGTCAAAGATTATGATTCCTATGAGTTTTATGAGTGCAAAGTATCAGAAACTCAATTTTAAGCCTTTTCTAAGATAGATACTCTTCTCCACAGACACTCTATGGATAATTCAGAGATATATTTGCGGTGCTGAGGAGAGGTAGAATCAATGATACATATAGGGTATGGGAGTGTCTCAACGTGACCTTGAAAGTGGGAAACACAAGCCCTTTCCAACTGGCTGCAATGCTATAACTCTTCGTTTCATTACTCATATTGAGATACAATAAATCCATGAAGAAACATCTTCTCAGTGTTGCTAAATATGTGATCCCTTTCCAGTGGAACAATCCTCCACCCCAGTCTTTCAGCAGTGAATTGCCTGTACCATAGAATACAAATAAAGGCTTGCAAAATACCTTTACTTTCCACACAGTTTTAGCAGTCTCTTTGACTCACAGTTTCTCTGTCTCTGCCCCAGCTCTTCACAGGAGAGACTGATTCCCCTCTGTATAGGGTTTATGTAGCTCCCTAGTTGATGTACTAGAGGAACCTGATTTTTAACCCCCTCTAGTCAGGAAAGTGCCATTCTGGGGCTAATATGGCAGTGTTCCCTCACACTGTCACAGTATGTAATTGCTTATTTCATTTACCTATTTTCCTCTCCTTGTTCAGACTAGCAGCTCTTCTGCTGCTAGTTTGTCAATTCCTTTAAAAATGTAAACCAGCTTCCTGTTCTTGAAGATGGTTGAGATAAGCTTTGAGAAAAATGATTTACATAGAGAGTCATTGTTTCAGATATTCCGAGGCAGTACAGGGAGTTATTAACATCATTTATTACCATCTCTTGCACTTTGCTTGCCTCCTCAGGATGTGTTGATCCAGAAGAATCAAATTCTGCTTCTCCAAGCAACTAGTGTTGGTTTCACCCAAATCTGAGACTCATTCAGTCTTTCCACTGGCATAATCCAATAATGTTAAGCTATGGTTAAGTGCAGAGCTGTGCAAAATTGATTTGCCTCGGGGGCAGAGGAGAGCTGACACAATAGTTCCAACCTTTATTTGCACTACTCAGGAGTCTCTTTGGATTGAGGAAAGGAAAGAAGCCTGAAAATAGTCTGAAATTATAGAAATAATTATGGAAAGAAAAGGCTGATAATGACTTGATGACACAATATTCAGAGGTTGAATAGATAGAAATGGTCAAGAACCTCACTGCACCATCTAAGTGTGAGTGGAGGGAATGGGCAGGTAATATTGTCTGCTTCCCCTTACACAAGCGCTAACACACCTACTAACAGTATGACATACACACAGACAGACTCGTAATACTTATCATATTTTTACCAGACTGTCTTTTTCCTCTCCTTTAGGCACCATGTCTTTTGCATCCCTGCTGATCTGAGTCCATACCCAGACATGTATGCAAATCAGGAAGTGAATTTGTGGAAAGGGAACAAGCAAAGTGGGCTGAGTTATGCAAAGGAAAGCTGCAATATATATTTAAACTGCTGGTCAAAGAGATTTGACCGTTAA